ACCCGCCTATATGACTGAAATACTGTTGGAAAAGGCGTAAAAATGAAATAAACAAACAAAATCATGAAAATTTTTAAAAATATATTTAAATGTGAAAATATTGTGAAGTGAACAAAGAAAATAATTTACACATTACAAACAACACTTGAAATCAATGTAAATTACCAAAAAGAGGTCAAGTAAGCAAAAAAATTGCCCATATTGCGTTAGTAACGCAGTAGAAATATGGTGATAAATACTGCAAAATCAGTCCTTTATCACATATAACATGTAAATTATTACTTAACTCTTAAATCTTTTTACTTTCCTTAAAATTTTAGTAAATTTTTCTCAAGTTGAATTTTCTCAAAATACTTAAGCTCATCTGGAGGCATGCAGCTTTATTTTAACAATGCAAGCAGCTTTATTAGTCCCCTACCGGTTTACCGGAGGGGACTTTAGGTTTACCCTCCGTCCGTCTGTCCGTCCGTCAGTCCGTCCGTCCGTCTGTCCGTCCGTCAGTCCGTCCGTCCACAAAACTGGATCCCGCGATAACGCAAAAAGTACTGAAAATATTGTAATGAAACTTGATATATGGATTGATGGCAGTATGGAGATTATGCACGTCTTTTTCTTTTCTTCCTATGTTGAAAATTCTGGTTGCTATGGCAACAAATAGACCGAAAATATGGCAAATTTTACACATAACCTGGATCCCGCGATAACGCAAAAAGTACTGAAAATATTTTTATGAAATTTGTTATATGGATAGATGGCAGTATGGAGATTATGCACGTATTTTTCTTTTCTTCCTATGTTGAAAATTCTGGTTGCTATGGCAACAAATAGACTGAAAATATGGCAAATTTTACACATAACCTGGATCCAGTGATAACACAAAAAGTACTGAAAATATGTTTATGAAACTTGACATATGGGTAGATGGCAGTATGGAAATTATGCACATCCTTTTCTTATCTTCCTATGTTGAAAATTCTGGTTGCTATGGCAACAAATAGACTGAATTTCAAGATTTCTGGTTCTAGTTTTTAAGTTTTTTCACTATAAGTTCTTTATTTCTTAAGGTATTTTCTTCATACTTTAAATATAAGTTGCTTGTCATCAACCACATCATATGTGACAAGGTTTACAACTCTAGCACAGAATTTTTCAGAATTACCTCCCTTGAACTTTAAATTTTCATGAAAAAAACATTGTTTTTTTTTTTTAATAACTTCTTTTTCTGAATGTATCTACTTCAAACTTCATATAAATGTTTCTTACTATCACTCAACATTAAATTTTGTGAGTGTTCAATACTCTAGCAAGACTATTTCCAGAATTATGCCCCTTTTGAACTTAGACTTTTTTTTGAGAAATTGGTAATTTTTACTCCAACTTCTACAATCATGATTGATAGGATTTTAAAAATGTTATATTTTGATAACAGGGATGTTTAAAAAATAACTTTAGAGTGTCTTTCAGTCCGTCTGTCTGTACATAAAAACTGTTTCCTGTGATCACTTTTAAAGAACTTTTTCAACAAATTTACTTAAAATAGGAACCTAAGTGAATGGCCCTTCAGAATGTTGCTTGGGCTCTTACCGGTAGGGGACTTATGGATTGCTTGCAATACTATGATAATTGCTTGTATTAACAATGAAATAGCTGTCCTCACACACCTCTATTTAACTAATTATCGGCAAAAAAACCCACGGCTGATAAATGTTAATGGTTTGGCCGTGGTTATCCGACAATGTGCTTGTCTGTTTTCCATAAGGAACTGTCCATGAATCACTTTGACCATTGGTAGGGAGAATGGCCCTACGGCATGTACAGTCTTTGGTCATACGTTACAAAGAACACTGCAACACAAGATTCAATTACATACCTTTCTTTTCTTTTTTAAGTAAGATATTCCAGGTGAGTTAAAAGAGCAGAATGCATTCCTTTATTTTGTTTGTTTATATATATGTTATGTATGTTTTTACTTGATGCTTTTACTTTCAGCTGTTTTAGCTCCATTTTTAGCTCGACTTTTTTTTAGCTCACCTGACCACGAAGTGGTCAAGGTGAGGTATAGTGATGGGGCTATGTCCGGTGTCCGTCGAAATGCGTCGTGAGTCTTCAACAATTGGGTTGTTAACAGTCTAGCAGTCACAGTTTTGATTGGATCATCATCAAACTTTGTCAGAATGTTTGTTACAATGAAATACAGATCGAGTTCGAAGATGGGTTATCTCGGGTCAAAAACTAGGTCACAGGAGCTAAAAATAGAAAAAGCTTGTTAACACTCTAGAGGCTGCAGTTTTCATCCAAATATCCTGGAAATTTGTCAGGAAGGTTGTTTTGATGATATCTAGGTCAAGTTCAAAGATGGGCCATCTCTGGTCAAAAACTAGGTCACAGGAGCTAAAAATAGAAAAAGCTTGTTAACACTCTAGTGGCTGCAGTTTTCATCCAAATATTCTGGAAATTTGTCAGGAAAGTTGTTTTGATGATTTCTAGGTCAAGTTCAAAGATGGGTCATCTCAGGTCAAAAACTAGGTCACAGGAGCTAAAAATAGAAAAAGCTTGTTAACACTCTAGACTGCCCTACTGAAAAAATGACTGGGAATCCCAGTGGGATTTCAATTGGGATCCCAATGGGACCCACCGGGAATTTTGGTCGGGATCCCACCCTATCCCGATGGGATCCCACCCTTATCCCAGTGGGATCCCTACCAAATTTCCCACTAGGTCCCAATGGGATCCCAATTGAAATCCCACCTTTATCCCAGTGGGATCCCGACCAAATTTCCCAGTGGGATCCCGATGGGATCCCAATTGAAATCCCACCCTTATCCCAGTGGGATCCCGACCAAATTTCCCACTGGGATCCGAATTGAAATCCCACCTTTATCCCAGTGGGATCCCGACCAAATTTCCCAGTGGGATCCCGATGGGATCCCAATTGAAATCCCACCCTTATCCAAATGGGATCCCGACCAAAATTCCCAGTGGGATCCTATTGAAATCCCATCACCATCCCAGTGGGATCCCGACCAAATTTCCCAGTGGGATGCCAATTGAAATCCCACCACTATCCCGGGAGAATCCAACCCTTATCCCGGTAGGATCCCGACCAAATTTTGGGAATCTGGTGGATCCCAATTGAAATCCTAGCACTATCTTGGTGAGATTCCAACCAATTTAAAACCCTGTATGATCCTACCTCTCATCCAAGAGGGATCCAACAACTATCCAAGTGGGATCATCCACCTCATCTTATAAGCTGGGATCCATCCTCACCCCAGTGGGATTTTCCATTATCCCAGTGGGATATATGGATAAACAGAAGAATGAACAAAGGGAACTTGACATCATGCAATCACAAAAGCTTATCTTGTCACTTTGTGACAGGTGATGAGCTAAACATAGGCTTTTCTATCATTTGCAAACCTAAAAATTAGGGTGAGACACAAAAACAGCAAACAAATCTTTTGATGAAATAAGTAAAAGTTACAATTAAACATACAAACAAGCAGCAGTGAGTCCAAACTCTATGTGCCCTACTGACCATGTGAGTTTAAACATTTTTCCTTAACTTTATCCTATGACAGGCTGTCCAGCATCTTCTGACACAAAATTAGGGCAAAATTAAAGAAATTTTTGGGCTAAAATTATGGTACATAAAAAAAATCTTGGGGATCTGGCCCAAAACTTTGTAGGAAAGATAGGGAAAAGCTAGCCATTGTTCAGTTCTGTAATTTGTATTTATTATTTTTTATTGCTCTTATTTTATCATTCAATTTTGTTACAATTTCCTGGGTCCATATTCTGTCCTTTTCTGCTTCTGAACTGTTGTATCTGTTGAACACATGACCTATAATGATGAAACAAACAAAAAATGATTACTATTGAGAAACTTTTGTTTTCTGATCAGAAAAGAATAGCTGACCAATGTTGCTGGGCGAGTCATTTTCATAAAATTTCTTCATGTCCCAGGTTTTCTTTTTATCAACACCCTTGCTAACCTGCATAACAGACCAGACAGAAAAGGTGGTGCAATGATTTCATTACTAAAACAATATGTTAAAATGACAAAATATTTACAAGAGGAACATCATAAACCTGTGTAATACTGAGAAATAAGACATTGGTAAGAATCTAAAAATATATCCTTTATGGTACCATAGCAACCAGTGGTGATTTGAACAACATCATTTGAACAACTTGAATACAGAACCACCCAAGGATCATTTAAAATTTCTTTAAATTTTGCCAAGTGGTTTAATTAAGAGAAAATTTGTTTTAAGACAAATGTTAGACACACAGAAGAACACACAAAGGGATCACAAAAGCTTATCTTGTCATTTTGTGACAGGTGATAAGCTTAACATAGACTTTTCTATCATTTGATCCATTGTAGTTTTTTTATCAAACTTGACCCATATTAAGAATTGTTTCAGATTTTAAGCAGAGCATGATTTGACAAATTTTCATGCAAATTAAACGAAAAATGTGGTCTCCATGATGTAAACAAGGCATTATAAGGAGGATTTCCATAACTGAATTTGGCCTAGAATTCATCAAGAGAAACATTATGACAAAATTTCATGAAATTCCAACCCAAGATGAGGCTTCTAAGTTCTACTGTGTTAGTTAGGCATACAAACAGTATTCAGATGACCCCGCTTTTGACCCCAGTCCAATGTATTTTTGATCAAATTTCTAAAATATTGGACCTAAAATGGCATTTCTAGACAGAAAAACTTTTATTTTATAGCCCAAGTGACCCAGCTTCAGTCTCGTGCATGACTTAAGGTTTATGATCTGATCAAGTGTTTTTAAAGATCTGAACAGAAATATGCCCTCTAGAGTGTTAACAAGCTAATTGTTAACAAAGGAAGGACATAAGGTGATGACAGTAGGTAAACCTGGGCTTAAAAAAGTAGCTATTAAAATACTTACAGTTTCAAGACTATTGTATTTTATGGTATCATTATGATTTTGTGGAATATATATCTCTATATAAATTTAATTCTAGGCAATGTTAATTAGGAAAAAGGTAAGTCTTGATATAAGAATGGTAGCATGTTGGACTCCAAATCCAGAAGTTGCTGGTTCAAATCCAGGTTGGGGTATAAAAATTATTTTCTCTTATTTAGTCTTTCATCTCTAGACTATATAAGAAAGCAGTCAGCAAATTGGAAAATGATGTTGTGTTTGTACTGGTGTGAGAAAACCAGGAAATCATTGATAGGTTTACTGTCATCTACAAAATGATCAATGATGGTGTTAAATCTTAATAAAATAAAATTAACAGAATTCATAATTAACTTACTTCTCAGAGCCTTTCTTTTATTTAGATCCATTGCGATCTTTCCTTTAGATTGTCCATAAATAGACAGGGTAGAACATTCTTCTTTGTTTATTACCAGCTCAAGAAGCCCAAGTGCCAATTTCCCGGCACTGCTACTTGCCTTCTCTATGGCACTTAATCGAGAAGATGGGACTTTTATCCCATACTGGGGACTTCCCATGTACACAAGCTCTGTAAAAATAATAAACTATATTACCTAGAGCAAGTTACCAAATTTCTCTTTACAGAAACTTGATACTATGGTTAATTCTATAGAGGATCATTCTTGCAGTTTCCTGTAATATCAGATTATAATTTCAGAGTGGGCACCAAAAATGATATTTTCATTAGTGGCCCAGACACCAGTGCAAATATCATATATTGGTGTTCACAAGAAATTACTGTAATATTACATTAATACAAACATTTTTTGTTTATTTATGTCTATCAGTCTACTTTTGTTGGGTTTATTTCAATAACATATCGAAATTTGCAGGAAACTTTTAAAGGATGCATCGCAAAGATGACATCATTTTAACAGTGTCATCATCATAAATGTTTCCGACTTTTAGTACACTCGGTAAACTATTTGACATTAATCCAGGTATCATATTTGAAAGGCCAGTGAGTTTATCAGAATATTATTCATGTTATAAACCACCGAAAACATGAAATAAATGCATTCATAACACAATAAGTGAATAACCTGTATGCAGGTAGCAGTAAAGGTTATTTTGCGATAAACCATACTGTCATTCTTCATGAAGTAGAGTACTCAAGGAGTGTATAAAGTAGTTAGCTGTTTTATAACATTGATGTTTAAAAACATGTGTTAGAATTGAAATAACAAGTTCCAAAGAGTGATTTATCTATGAATAACTTTAGGCTTTTGTTCTTATGCAAAGCAATATATCAGCCTTCCTGATAAATTCATAGGCATATTTGGAAACTTATTCTTTCATAATTAATTATTATCTATATTGAACAGAAGCTGTGAAGATTTGACAATTGCCTCTGCCATCCTGTACCACCCCCCACTCCAATTTTTTTTTGCTATTATAGCAGTGATTTTTACTCGGTATTTATCAGCCGAAAAATGACTGTTTCCCCAGTGCCAAAATAGGTATATTGTACCCTAAAAATACTCATATTTCCCCCTAAAATTCCCTGTGTACATTCTTCACCAGAGCAGTAGACTTACATCAGCTAGAAGACAAAAAGCTGTCCTTATAGACAGTCTCTGCTTTGTACCATGCATGTTAAATTTAATTGAAATTGAAAATTTTATAAATTGTGTGGGTAAATTTCATTCCCAGTTGTTGGAAATTGAATTTTCCCTTTTCTGATTTTACGCCCTATATTTCCCCTTCAAAAAGTCACAGGTTGTTTTGAAAATTGAAAAAAAATAATAATGCTATTGTCTTAAAGTATGTATTCTGGTTTGACTGTATAGTTGTACATAATGATCTGGATCCATGCTTGTCTCATATACTATAACTTTGATGTTCTTATTACATAAACCATTCTCGAAAACATGATACTTCTTAAATACAGTCAACATTAGTGATTTTCCGATTGTCGCAAGTAGCCGATAATCAATTACTTATATGTAAAGCGACAATAATCGATTCACAAAAAATTTGTTCCGCAATCGTCGAAAATGTTTAAAGTATCAAAAGGAATTAATTCTGACGGTGATTTTCTTAAATTAGGAACACCTTGCTGATCGCGGAAAAATCATCTCAGAGACAATTTTGATTTGAACAGGATAAATAAGTGATGTAAACAATAGTAATATAATGTGATGTAAATGTTATTATTTGACATCCATTGCAAAATAAATCTATTTCTTAAAATTATGACTATGTAAAGTTAAAACTGTGTTGAAAAGTGCTAAATGGAGTTCATGTTACTGAATATAATAAAGTATTGGGAGTAATTGTTACTTCCCTATTTCTTTTTAATGCGACTTTATTCGAAAAGTTATCGATTATGACCCATCCAACTGAACCGACGATCGATTGGGACAAATTCCATCCAATTTCCATCACTAGTCAACATATCTTTTTCAGTAGTGGGGGGAAATATTCTTACCATCAACACCAACTGCGCCAATTTCCTCTAATGCTGAAGGCACATCCTCCTCAATTTCTAAAAATAGTACAAATAAATGTTATCATGTAATGGCTCTCCACATTTGAACAGTGCTGGTAAATCTGGCTATCAAAGTTTGGTTTGTTTGCGTTTTTAGGTTTCAATTTTATTTCAGTCATATTGAGGCGGTCTTCCAGGGTGAGCATAGACCTTCTAATAATAGGAAACTGGCTAAGGGCAGATAAGTCAAGTAAATTGCATGGTCAGATTATGCTTCCTGAGCACTGCACTTCCTCTGATTGCCATTAATCTATATTCTAAGATTTTGCTTATCATCAGTTGTTTTATATTAGAGTCTGATATTCTGATAACATTATTTGTTTGGGTCTGGCAATCCAAACAAATAATGTTAGCACAATTTCAGACTCTAATATATTTAACTACCAAATCCTCAAATAGTCTGTTAGTCTCTACTGACAGGTGCATTAATTTTCAAACATTCTCACAGAACAGGAAAAATAGTTCCAGATTGGTCAAAGGTTTCTAATGCAATTTTGTTACATGTATATTATCATTTGTTTTTTTTGTTTTTTAAAAAAGAAGATAAATGAAGAAGTTGTCTGCACAAAACAAACTTGTTTGTAACAGTTAAAACATTGATTAAAGCGCATATATTTTAATTTGGTCCCAGATGTTTATTTATTTATATATAACGTGACGCCAATTTGGTTCATAACATGAATCATGTAGATGTGATACTCTGCTGCCTGAATCATTTTGCAGTAATGGTTTAACTCTCTTTTTGAATCTTTGAATATCATATCATCATAGAATTTGTTTGCAACAAACACTAATTTGTTATAGTAATTGATGTGCATGAAATCTCACAGAAGTCAAAATTAGGGATTTCAAATCTATTCAGCCCCAAATTACCAAAGAGGTTTCGGCACTTTACCAAATCAGCCCCATTTTTTGTTCAGAATATATGTCTTAGCTTTACTGTTTGTGTTTTAAAAGTATTACATAAATAATGAACAAATAAATGAATGTAATCTTTCAACCATAACATTTCTGATATTCTGAGACCCAAACAACATCAGCTCCTTCTGTGCTTTGATCAATATTAATGCACTGGACAAGGATGGGCCAGATGGACAGAAAAAGTGGCGCTATTATTGACTTCCGGTTTGGGCAGTATAATAAAACATATGCCAAAAATACCGGCTATATAGCAGATATCAGCCAAACCTTAATTTAACAGAAGGGGCTAAAGCTTAAATGAACACATCTGTTACCTTCTATCGAAACATCTTGCACAGGACTATTGTCTGCCAACTTTGGTGTAGACTTAGTACATGTAGTAGGGATCACAGCTGGTGGTTTGATCTTTTGAATAACAGCTGGTTGACTGCAATTTAATCTGTCAGATGGCGATAGATTCTTGAAAGTAAATGGAGACTGGTCATAAGAAAATAGGTTACAGTAGCATACCTGTGCATCATTTAAAATGTATATTTTTATGGTTAATGGCCAAGCTTGTGTCCCAATATGCTGTTGTAATCCTACTTTTAAATTTCATTAATATAATCTTACACTCAATCATTTAGAATTAAAAATAACATATCCCATACTGATTTTATCGCTCAATAGAATCACACCTTGGAGTTGAGATGGGAGGATTTATATATTATAATGATAGGCATCTAAACAACAAACAAGCAGTGCTTTTATGAAGGGATGAAATCTCTTTTGGGATTTGTTATTTCGTTTCTAACAAGACATACTTAAATAAACTTGACAAGTTTGACATCAAGCAAAAATAATGCCTGTTTTAAGCTGTACTTTTTTTCAGCACATCACATCATCAATGGCGAATGCAGTGTAATTGTTGTATATTAAATAAACTTTGAGTCCTCCTTTGATCAAAAGGAAAAAGTCAAGTTAGAATCCCCAATAATTATATTTTACAACAAACACAGCACTGATCACTTTGAAATACAGTTTATAGATCAGACAACTATAGAACAAGAAAACATGGTTGGTTATTGAACACAGGTACTGGTAATTACTACAATCATATTATCAAAAGGAACACTTTAAAATTATTTTTTACTTAAAAAGTGTGAGTAGCTAAGGTAGAGCCTTCATCAGAAGACTGTATGGGTGGGAAACACAGAAGTTTAATAAGATTTATATCAATCCTACCTTGTATATACTCTTCAAACATGATCTGCAGTTAAAGAGCTGAATAATCCGTTGTTGGTTATCTATGACATTTTCTATTTTTTTCTCCATTTCTTTCATCTGCAAAACATAAAATACAATGTATTTGTATGCTGTCTTCTATAACCTATCCCTATTACATGATTAACAAATATTTCATAGAGAATCAGATATCACTTGTTTGAGAAAAATACATACAACATTGTTATAACAAAATGAGCTTGAGGACTGGTTATAGTTAAAGGAATCCTTTGTACCAAGTTTTGTAAAATTCTGTTGTGAAATAAATTGCATGAATTTGCAAGGACATAACAAGAGATATTTGTTACACATGTATGCCTTCAAAGAAAACACCTAAAACTGTTAATCTCTGATCAGAATAAAATATGATAATACAGTTCTAAAATACCTTGACCAATGACCTCAAAAGAAATAGTAGTCGTCTATAATAGTTTTTTTTTTTTTTCTAAAACAAAATTTTTTTTTTTTATTAACTTACTCTTTCCAGTATAGGGCCATCCTCTGCTTGTAAGTCATCCAGGAGAACAAGAGACGACTCCTGGTTCGTAAGGGCCCTTGACATCTCCATCTCTCTTGCTTTTTTAGCTTTTAATTTCTTTTCTGTTTTACCTTTTTGAAGGTAAATTTGAAATTTGAAAATTTGTTAAAAATAATGTGATTATTAAGGATCATTTTTATTTATAAATATTCTAAAGATCTTAATTATATTCTACAAAAAGAACTGCAAGAAAGAGACAAATGCTTTATAAACTGTTTCTATGTCAACATACTGGAGATATATATTTTAGAATATAAAGCCTGAAAAGCAGGACCAGTTCAGAGATATATCCAATAAAATAAACTGCATACATTAGGCAAAATGATTTTCAAATAGTCGGCCTCACAGCATAGTCTTACTCCACATAAAGTTGCTGGTTCAAATACCAGTAATGGCAAAGCAATTATTTCCATCTCAATGAATCTTTTACCTCTGACCCATGTAAGAAAGCAGTCTATGGCTAGGAAAAAATGGCTAATTCAATTGTTTATTAGTTTTTACACATCTTTCAACAAGTTTTCAACTATTTTGCAGTGACAGTTCATTTATTCAAGGTTACAAATATAACTATGGCCATGGACACTCTAACATAGTCAGGAAGATATTGGTGGAAGAACTGTCTGTTGTAATATGACAAATGATATTAAAGTCAGCTGTAAAGCGAACTAACCTGTTTCTAGATCTGCTGTCATTGTTGGTTTTTCCATCCTTTGAAGGTCCTAGAAAAATTTAAAAATTACTACATTTTGTAAATCCATTTACAGCCACAACATTCTACGTTTGATAACCAACTAAGTAGCAATCGAGGCGTCATGGGTTTGATCCCCTGCTCTGACAACAAATTTAGCTAATGTTCACAAAAACTTGTTGAGCAGACAACTAGACTCAAAGTTGGCAGGACCACCAAAAAATAATTTGACTCAGCCGAAATTCAACTAAAACATGTGTTTAAGTTAAAAGGAATGTGACCATGATGAAAAAAAAGACTAAAGTCATGTTCAGCTGTAACATAATGCTACATGGAAAAGTCTCTTACCTTTTTCGTCTTTTTAATTCTGTTTTCCATGGACATGATGGGTGACAGCAATGAGTCTATAACATAAACAAGAGGGTCATGATGGCCCTAAATCTCTCACCTGAGTCAAAATACTTATTAATTTGTTGGGTTTTTTTTAAAAATAAGATTTTTTTTTGTGTTTTTACTATATAGATATAAAGAAAGTCAATGACACCCTGGGCGGGGCCATGACTCCAGGGCCTTTTTTAAAATAGACTTGGTAGACACTCACTAGAAGATGTTTCATGCTTAACATCTTAGCGTTCTTGAAAGAAGATATTTTTTAGTTTTTTCTTTAAGTTACCATGGCAACCAGAGTTTGGCATGGAATTTAATTCTTTGAACTATTCTTAAAGAAGACCACCAAAGGAACATTCCTGAGAATTTTGGATGAAATTGGCTTAGTTTTTGAGATGTTGTTTTAAGTAAAAGTTTATGGACACAGGACGAAAAGCAATCACAAAAGCTCACCATGTCACATTGTTACAGGTGAGCTATTAAAAAAACATGTAAATATATACTTCAAAGGCAAAAGTAAATACCGATGATGGCCTGGCTTTGAAAATTTACTTCCTGGTTTTATAGAGCTATTTAAGGTACGGACTGATGTATGACAGACACAGGGTCATGATATAAGCATGAAATCTGCCAGTGGAGCTACAAAATATTAGATTGATTCTCCTTCTGACACAGTGGTATATTAGATTGATTCTCCTTCTGACACAGTGGAAATTTTAATTATCACTAAGAAGGATCATATAGAACTTCAATAGCATAGTGATAATGTCACAAATTAGACTATCATCTGAAACAAGGGCTAGGTTCCATTTAACAGTAAAAATCTAAAATTGGCAAAAACAATTTGGGGGGAAAGGAAGGGCAATAATTAGAAAATTGTGGTAGAGATTGTGATAGTGATGATGCTTTGTACCAAATATCTTCGATTTTGGAAAAGATTTTGGAACTTTTACTTTAAAAGCATCAACGTCACTAAACAAGAGCTGTCACAGGAGACAGCAAAGCTCGACCAATAAAAGACTGGACACAGTAAGGAAGACAAAACTATGAAAGGAAAATCAATTATGTATAATTATATATTAAGTTATATAAAAAATAATATTGTTAACATATTAAATTCTAAGATCAAGGGGAATAATTCTAGAAATGGTCATGCTAGAGTTATGAACCTTGTCACACAACATGTGTGTAATGATAAGAAATATATATTTTAAAGTTTGAAGTAGATACCTTAAAAAGTAAAGAAGTTATAATATTTCTTAAAGAAAATCCTAAGTTCAAAGAGAGATAAATTTGTAAATATTGCTTCAGGAGTTATGAACATTGTCACATAAAATGGAATTGATGATAAGGAATAAGTATTTGAAGTTTGAGGTAGATACTTTTAAAACTAAAAAAGTTATAGTAAAAAAAAAACATTTTCCTAGTAAACAAATCTAAGTTGATGGGGAGATAATTCTTGCAATATTGGTGCTAGAGTTATGAACCTCGTCACATAACATGTGGTTAATGATAAGGTACATATATTTGAAGTATGAAATTGATCCCTTAAGAAATAAATAACAGTAAAAAATTAATATTTTTAAGGAAAATTCTAAGTTCAAGGGAAGATAAATCTGAAAATATTGGTGCCAGAGTTATGAACCTTGTCACATAACATGTGGATGATGATAAGGTACATACATTTGAAGTATGAAATTAATCCCTCAAGAAATAAAGAAGTAACAGTAAAAAATAATTTTTTTTTAAGGAAAATTTTCAAGGGGAGATAAATCTGAAAATATTGGTGCTAGAGTTATGAACCTTGTCACATAAGATGTGGTTGATAAGGAACATATATTCAAAGTTTGAAGTGGATAACTTAAGGAATGACAAAGTTATAGTGAAAAATATTTTACTGCACCAAAACTTTAATCTGAAATCTAGGTGCGGACGACGCCGGGGCAAGTAGGACAGGTCACCTTACACTTTGTATAGTCGAGCTAAAAATAATAATCTATTACCTGATTGATCACTATCAGTTTCTTCCTCTGTGAATATTCCATTGTCAATTTTCTGCAAATACATTAAATCAAATTATTTTAAAATCAATGAAGTGGAATGAAAAACTTTGAAAAAAATTTGTAGTCACTTTGGTGAAAGTTCCAACTTGATGATAATGCCATAAATAACATGGAACAGACCAATATAATTATATCCTTCTAAAATTGACCAATAAAGACAGAACACAGCCTTGACCAAGTCTGTCATATTATTGATTTATCTTTCTGAAGAAAAATGGCCCTATCGCTATTGAACCATATGAGTCTATATTGAATGCACAAAATTAAAAGGAAACTTTCAGTTTAAACTGCATGATGCTAAAATATAAAAACCTAATCACTAATTGATTTTGCAAAGCATAGTATTTTCCATAGCATTCATTAATTTGCGGTGTTATTTCTTTCTTCAATGTTTCTTTTAGTCACCTGGTTTTCCTTGTCAAAGCTATAGGTGCCCTCCTTTCCTACCCATACCCTTTTGGTGGTCTTTTTTCCTTCTTCAAGGGTTTTTTTGGTCTGTTTCCCACTCTCACAAACGATGCCTTTACTTTGATCTGAAAACAGAACAATCTAATTAGATAGAAAGAATATAATAATACACTGGATTAGAAAACAAAAGAATACTTTATTGAATCAATGTATGGATATAAAATGGCTTGAACATCTTGACAGTCCAAAAAAGGTCATCTAACTATACAGAATATCAGGAAGATTTTTATTTAGTAACCTCAGCAAATGTAATTTAATTGTTTAATTTTTTCCTAGTATGAACTCCAAAAATTATTGTGTGACTGTTTAAATTAGTGACATAGTAAATCGGTTGCAATATTGTCGTAAAATTCATGAGTGGGTGTTTTCCATTTGTAATATCTGGCAGAGGCTTCAAGTTAACGTCAATTGTACTGAATCAAGGTATGTATCCCTCTAGTGGGTTATTGAATTATTACCTTTTATGGGACAAACACAGAGATCTTTTTAAAAACAAAAATGTTTGTTTACAAATTGTATTCGGTTTATCTTTCATTTTATAGTATGTGAAAATCTTTGCAAGAAAGGGAATTTTAGACAATGCCATGTGGAGAATGACTATTTTGAACTATTGGTTATTCCTTTGCCCCAAAGTTATGTGTTTTAATGCATATGTGACCAGTGCAGTCTGATTAGGACCTAAAATGTTCATTTTTATATTCATAAAAGAATTTCTAAATGGAAAGCAAACTTTGGAGATCATGATCAGACTGCATGGGTGTGCAGATATTAAGGTTTTGTTATGATCCCAGTTTGACATTTATTAAACTAGCAGGGATCAAAAATTCCACTTGTCCCGTAAGTTGTCCGCTCGTATTTACAAGTACAGATCCATGCAGGGCAAGTATAAAATGTTAGAATGCTCGTCCAGTAGGACAAGCTGAAATATGCTGATGTAATATATTGACGCATGGTTCTAAATATTTAAAGGTATCACTTTGTACAAATTATCGCTTTGTCAATTATGAATATAATATTAAACTGTTTGCTACATCTATTACCTTTATCGCGAATGTACTGAATTATTCTTTTCTTTATGTCCTTTGGATCCTCCTGTGGTAAAGTAATATTAACAAACTCCCTTAATGATCTTTCCTCCTTTTTTATACTGTCTTCCTGGTAGCTCTCTGCAATACAGATAATAGAACTATGATCATTGAAGATTCAGTTCCAGTGTATAACAGTCTGCACAAAAAACTCTTTATGGTAATAGACATTCAGGCTTTGTCCATCAAACTTACAAATTTTAACGGAAACAAGACAACTCAAAAAATGGCTGAGGGTGAATTGTCTGGGGGTGAGTTGTCTGTAAGCTAAATTTGTAATTTTTAGTTTGTATGTAAAATAATATGAAAAAATATTAACACATAGTAACAAATATTATCTTTAAGAAATAAATTATAATAACTAATTTAAATATGACTAAATATTTTATAAATATCAATTAAGTAAAGAAACACAACAAATTTCTTATTGCATCTTCTAATTTTAAGATAAATTTCATCAAAATTAAATTTAAAGAAATGGGGGGTGAATTGTCTGTGTCATTTTTCCAATAATGCGGGGTGAACTGTCTGGTGGGTGAATTGTCTGGAAAAAATGGCCGAGAGTGAATTGTCTGGGGGTGAGTTGTCTGTAAGCCATTTTAACAAGCCTGAAAAAGGTTTTTCAAATTTACTCAAAGCAGGAGAAAATTATGCAAAGTGATATCACTTGATTAACATTTATTTTAATATTCTTAGACAGAATGTCAGGAAGGTTGTTTTGATGATATCTAGGTCAAGTTCGAAGATGGGTCATGTCCGGTCAAAAACTAGGTCACAGGAGCTAAAAATAGAAAAAGCTTGTTAACACTCTAGTGGCTGCAGTTTTCATCCAAATATTCTGGAAATTTGTCAGGAAAGTTGTTTTGATGATTTCTAGGTCAAGTTCAAAGATGGGTCATCTCAGGTCAAAAACTAGGTCACAGGAGCTAAAAATAGAAAAAGCTTGTTAACACTCTAGACTGCTAGGCTGCAGTTTTCATCCAAATATTCTGGAAATTTGTCAGGAAGGTTGTTTTGATGATATCTAGGTCAAGTTTGAAGATGGGTCATGTCCGGTCAAAAACTAGGTCACAGGAGCTAAAAGAAGAAAAGGTTTCACACTCTAGTGGCTGCAGTTTTCATCTAAATATTCTGGAAATTTGTCAAGAATGTTGTTTTGATGATATCTAAGTCAAGATTGAAGATGGGTCATGTCCAGTCAAAAACTAGGTCACAGGAGCTAAAAATAGAAAAAGCTTGTTAACACTCTAGAGGGTGCAGTTTTCATCCAAATATTTTGGAAATTTGTCAGGAAGGTTGTTTTGATGATTTCTAGGTCAGGTTCGAAGATGGGATATCTCCGGTCAAAAACTAGGTCACAGGAGCTAAAAATAGAAAAAGCTTGTTAACACTCTAGTGGCTGCATTTTTTATTCAAATATTCTGGAAATTTGTCAGGAAAGTTGTTTTGATGATTTCTAGGTCAAGTTCGAAGATGGGTCATGTCTGGTCAAAAACTAAGTCACAGGAGCTAAAAATAGAAAAAGCTTGTTAACACTCTAATGGTTGCAGTTTTCATCCAAACATTCTGGAAATTTTTCAGGAAGGTTGTTTTGATGATTTCTAGGTCAAGTTCAAAGATGGGTTATCTCAGGTCAAAAACTAGGTCACAGGAGCTAAAAAAAAAGAAGCTTGTTAACACTCTAGAGGCTGCAGTTTTCATCTAAATATTCTGGATATTTGTCAAGAAGGTTGTTTTGATGATTTCTGGGTCAAGTGCTAAGATTGGTCTTGTCAAGTTAAAAAACTAGGTCACAGGAGCTAAAAATAGAAAAATCTTTTTAACACTCTAGTGGCTGCAGTTTTGATCCAAATTTCTTGGAAATTGGTCAGGAAGGTTGTTTTGATGATTTCTAGGTCAAGTTTTAATAAGGGTCGTGTCCGGTCAAAAATTAGGTCACTTTGCCCAAATATGAAAAAATCTTTATAACACACTAGAGGTCACATGTTTGACTCAGTTGTCATCAAACTTGGCCATGATGCTTGTTTAAGACATTGCTTGGATGGGGTTGTGTCAGGTGAGCGATCCAGGGCCATCATGGCCCTCTTGTTTTTAAAGTTTGTCCGGACTACTTCTCTTATACCACGAATGCAATGTCAATGAAACTTTACAGGATTGATCTGTAGCTCAAGTCCTTGCACATATTGCACGGGTTTTCCGGTTGAATGCTTTTTGGCCGAGTTATGGCCCTTTGTTAAAAAGGTGTTTTTTTCTGTGTGTTGCCAGATACACAAAAGCTTGTCCGGACTACTCCTCATAAAGTACTGGTGCAATTTCATCCAAACTTTACAGGAGTGAACAGTACCAAGTCTAGTTATGCATATTGTCAGCATTTTCCGGTTCAATGATTAATAACAGAGTTATGGCCCTTATAATACTCACCTGGCATTAAATGATTAAATAAAATAAGCAAATTATGTGTTGCCTGTCAAGCTGAAGACATGGTACTAACAAGATTTCAATTGAGCTTACAGTTTATCATGTACATACATGTATATACATCAATGTACAGTTCATGTTTACAAAATCAAAACAGGCCGAGTGTTCACAAAAATTTAAGAATCAGGACCAAATTAAAAACTAGTATTCTTCATTGTTTATCCTCATAGATTATATATCGATGGCAAGTTTATGAAATTTTAGATAAATTTATTGTTATTTTTGTAAGATAAGGGAATTTTACAGTTGATCCAAATATTAATCCTGATCCTAAAATTGATTCTGATTTTGAAGTTAAAAGCTTGAACAGGACCTAAATGTGTTAGTCATAAATTCTATAAACTTATTTGTCAGACATGGGACAGAGCAAATGTCACAAAAACTGTAACTATTTATGCCAACAAATCTCAGTACATGTAATTCACTAAAAAGTATCAGTTATTTGGTATAAGATTTGAGTAGGAACATTGGATTTACATCTTTTGTCCCTGATTTGAACAACAAATTATAGATTTTAAGTCATTTTTGATCAAAGTATATTGCCCTAAATTTTTATACCTAGTATACTATTTTTATAAAACTTAGACAACAAGCTTGTTATTCATATTATATTACATTATTACTTGCATTAAAATTGCTTATTCATAAATAAACATTGTATATATCAGTGTATGAAGTTCAGTCAAAGAAAGATATTTTATTTAAAGAACCCAAAGAGCTAGAGCTAAGATATTTGGCATGAAACATCTTCTAGTAAGTGTCTACCAAGTTTGTTCAAATAAAAGCCCTGGGGTCAAAATTGGCCCCACCCTGGGGGTCATTGATTTTCCCTATGTGCATATACTAAAAACTTAAAAAATCTTCTTTTAAATAACCCAAAGAGCTAGAGCTAAGATATTTGGCATGAAACATCTTCTAAAAAGTGTCTACCAAGTTTGTTCAAATAAAAGCCCTGGGGTCTAAATTGGCCCAGCCCTGGGAGGTCATTGATTTTCTCTATATGCATATAGTAAAAACTTAAAAAATCTTCTTTTAAAGAACTGTAAGAGCTAGAGCTAAGATATTTGGCATGAAACATCTTTTAGTGAGTGTCTACCAAGTTTGTTCAAATAAAAGCCCTGGGGTCAAAAATGGCCCTGCCCCGTGGGGTCATTGATTTTCCCTATATGCATAAAGTAAAAACTTAAAAAATCTTCTTTTAAAGAACTGAAAGAGCTAGAGCTTAGATATTTGGCATGAAACATCTTCTAGTGAATGTCTACCAAGTTTGTTCAGATTAAAGCCCTTGGGTCAAAATTGGCCCCGCCCCAGGGGTCATTGATTTTCCCTATATGCATATAGTAAAAACTTAAAAAATCTTCATTTAAAGAACCGTAAGAGCTAGAGCTAAGATATTTGGCATGAAACATCTTCTAGTGAGTGTCTACCAAGTTTGTTCAAATAAAAGCCCTGGGGTCAAAATTGGCCCACCCCGGGGGTCATTGATTTTCCCTTTATGCATATAGTAAAAACTTAAAAAATCTTCTTTTAAAGAACTGTAAGAGCTAGAGCTAAGATATTTGGCATGAAACATCTTCTACTGAGTGTCTACCAAGTTTGTTCAAATAAAAGCCCTGGGGTCAAAATTGGCCCCGCCCCGGGGGGTCATTGATTTTCTCTATTTGCATATGGTAAAAACTTAAAAAATCTTCTTTTAAAGAACTGTAAGAGCTAGAGCTAAGATATTTGGCATGAAACACCTTCTAGTCAGTGTCTACCAAGTTTGTTCAAATAAAAGCCCTGGGGTCAAAATTGGCCCTGCTCCGTGGGGTCATTGATTTTCCCTATATGCATAAAGTAAAAATTTAAAAAATCTTCTTTTAAAGAACTGTAAGAGCTAGAGCTTAGATATAAACATCTTCTAGTGAGTGTCTACCAAGTTTGTTTAAATAAAAGCCCTGGGGTCAAAATTGGCCCCGCCCCAGGGGTCATTGATTTTCCCTATATGTATAAAGTAAAAACCTAAAAAATCTTCTTTTAAAGAACCCAAAGAGCTAGAGCCATGATATTTGGCATGAAACATCTTCTAGTGAATGTCTACCAAGTTTGTTCAAATAAAAGGCCTGGGGTCAAAATTGGCCCTGCCCCAGGGGGTCATTGATTTTCCCTATATGCATATAGTAAAAACTTAAAAAAATCTTCATTTAAAGAACCCAAAGAGCTAGAGCTAAGATATTTGGCATGAAACATCTTCTAGTGAGTGTCTACCAAGTTTGTTCAAATAAAAGCCCTGGGGTCAAAATTGGCCCCACCCCGGGGGTCATTGATTTTCCCTTTATGCATATAGTAAAAACTTAAAAAATCTTCTTTTAAAGAACCCAAAGAGCTAGAGCTAAGATATTTGGCATGAAACATCTTCAAGTAAGTGTCTACCAAGTTTGTTCAAATAAAAGCCCTGGGGTCTAAATTGGCCCCGCCCCGGGGGGTCATTGATTTTCCCTATATGCATATAGTAAAAACTTAAAAAATCTTCTTTTAAAGAACTCAAAGAGCTATGGCTAAGATATTGAGCATGAAACATCTTCTAGTGAGTGTCTACCAAGTTTGTTCAAATAAAAGCCCTGGGGTCAAAAATGGCCCTGCCCCTCGGGGTCATTGATTTTCCCTTTATGCATATAGTAAATCTTAAAAAATCTTCTTTTAAAGAACTGTAAGAGCTAGAGCTTAGATATTTGGCATGAAACATCTTCTAGTGAATGTCTACCAAGTTTGTTCAGATAAAAGCCCTGGGGTCAAAAATGGCCCTGCCCCGTGGGGTCATTGATTTTCCCTATATGCATATAGTAAAAACTTAAGAAATCTTCTTTTAAAGAACTGTAAGAGCTAGAGCTTAGATATTTGGCATGAAACATCTTCTAGTGAATGTCTACCAAGTTTGTTCAGATAAAAGCACTGGAGTCAAAATTGGCCCCGCCCCAGGGGGTCATTGATTTTCCCTATATGCATATAGTAAAAACTTAAAAAAATCATTTAAAGAACCGTAAGAGCTAGAGCTAAGATATTTGGCATGAAACATCTTCTAGTGAGTGTCTACCAAGTTTGTTCAAATAAAAGCCCTGGGGTCAAAATTGGCCCACCCCGGGGGTCATTGATTTTCCCTTTATGCATATAGTAAAAACTTAAAAAATCTTCTTTTAAAGAACCCAAAGAGCTAGAGCTAAGATATTTGGCATGAAACATCTTCTAGTGAGTGTCTACCAAGTTTGTTCAAATAAAAGCCCTTGGGTCAAAATTGGCCCCGCCCCGGGGGGTCATTGATTTTTCCTATATGCATATAGTAAAAACTTAAAAAATCTTCTTTTAAAGAACTCAAAGAGCTATGGCTAAGATATTGAGCATCAAACATGTTCTAATAGGTGTCTACCAAGTTTGTTCAAATAAAAGCCCTGGGGTCAAAATTGGCCCTGCCCCGTGGGGTCATTGATTTTCCCTATATAAGCATATAGTAAAAACTTAAAAAATCTTCTTTTAAAGAACTGTAAGAGCTAGAGCTTAGATATTTGGCATGAAACATCTTCTAGTGAATGTCTACCAAGTTTGTTTAAATAAAAGCCCTGGGGTCAAAATTGGCCCCGCCCCAGGGGGTCATTGATTTTCCCTAATTGCATAAAGTAAAAACTTAAAAAATCTTCATTTAAAGAACCCAAAGAGCTAGAGCTAAGATATTTGGCATGAAACATCTTCTAGTGAATGTTTACCAAGTTTGTTCAAATAAAAGGCCTTGGGTCAAAATTGGCCCTGCCCCAGGGGGTCATTGATTTTCCCTATATATGCATATAGTAAAAACTCAAAAAATCTTCTTTTAAAGAACCGTAAGAGCTAGAGCTTAAATATTTGGCATGAAACATCTTCTAGTGAATGTCTACCAAGTTTGTTCAAATAAAAGCCCTGGGGTCAAAATTGGCTCCGCCCCAGGGGGTCATTGATTTTCCCTATATGCATATAGTAAAAGTTTAAAAAATCTTCTTTTAAAGGACCCAAAGAGCTAGAGCTAAGATATTTGGCATGAAACATCTTCTAGTGAGTGTCTACCATGTTTGTTCAAATAAAAGCCCTGGGGTCTAAATTGGCCCCGCCCTGGGGGTCATTGTTTTTCTCTATATGCATATAGTAAAAACTTAAAAAATCTTCTTTTAAAGAACTGTAAGAGCTAGAGCTAAGATATTTGGCATGAACAGGGTTCTCAATAACTTTCAGCTCAGCAGGCCAAACTTGAATTCTAGCAGGCCTCCTAGGGGGGTGCGGGGGCATGCTCCCCCGGAAAATTTGAAATTAAGCACTTGATTTCCTGCATTCTAGGCCATATTTTGGCAGTTTAAAACTATTACAGAAGACCAAATGTAAAGGCATAATTTGAAAAAAAAACTATATAAAATTTCTTCTAGTGAATGTCTACCAAGTTTGTTCAAATAAAAGGCCTGGGGTCAAAATTGGCCCTGCCCCAGGGGGTCATTGATTTTCCCTATATGCATATAGTAAAAACTTAAAAAAATTTCTTTTAAAGAACCCAAAGAGCTAGAGCTAAGATATTGAGCATGAGATATGTTCTAATGGGTGTCTACCAAGTATGTTCAAATAAAAGCCCTGGTGTCAAAACTGGCCCCTCCCCGGGGGTCATTGATTTTCCTTATACAGTACGCTCAGCGCGGCTTTTTCAAAACCTGCGTGACCCCGCGGATGAGGTTTACCGGGACGAAAATTTGCTCAGATATTTTCAGACAGAAAATTTTCACCACCGCGGATATAAATCGGCGGCTGAAACCGTTTCCCCCGCGGAACGCAGTGGTAAATTGCAGAGGAACGCGGCAGTCAAACACCGGTCAACGCGGTGGAAACCTTAAATTTTAAAAATTAATTACTGTATTTAAACATCAGTATATGTA